GAGGGGCCTGAAAACTGAAGGCTCTGCCTCCCATTCTACTTTTAAATACTCTAGGAACAACAAGTAGGCCTGCAGAGCGAGAGCGAAGTGCTCTAATAGGACACTCTAATATGAATGTCTTCATAAAGGTACCATAATAAGATTTTACTGGTTGTTTGTATTAAGGTCAAATAGCACTATCTAATTCAATGCATTTTTAACCTTTCAGCCACTACTTCTTATTGCTTTAAGTTTGAAACTCTTCTTGCCTTTTGTGCAAACAAATCATATGTCTGTTTATTAAGCTTCCATATTAATGGTTGAGGTGTGGTTTCTTTCTCAAATTTTAAGTAACTGAACATGTTAAATTATTAGCTCTACAATCACAATAACATAACTACCAAGTTTGTCCTAAACCAGGGTTCATCATTAGCCACTGTTGAGTCCCTCTGACATAAACCGAACTTTTACTGAGAAGAATCAGAATCCCTGATTATGTAGTTACAGTTGTTCCAAGATAATAAGAACAGTAACAGACTGCCCATCCATTTTCTTCTGCTTATCTGGGGCTGGATCGCAGGGGCAGCAGCCAAAGCAGGGAAGCCTAGACCTCCCTCTCCCCAGCCACCTCTTCCGACCTGTCCGGAGGAACACCAAGGCGTTCCCAGGCCAGATATAATCTCTCCAGCGTGTCCTGGGTCTGCCCGGAAAACCTCGCCCAGGAGTAGTGATGGGATTTTTGGCTCTTTTTAGAGAGCCGGCTCTTTCGGCTCCCAACCGGCTCTTCAGGTTGCTTTGTTGTTTAATTAATTTATTAATAACAATTATATAAAATTATGCACAAAAGGAATTACTAATGTAAAAAAAAAAGTGGTTATATTTATATATGTTTATATATAAATATATGCAGTGGCCCCTACAGACAAAGCACGTACAAACTCCAAAACACATTTCTAGCATGAACTGAACTTCCAAACAGAGCTACCTAGATCACTTAAATTACACAATTGAAAGCATGTGTGTATTGTTGTGTATTTATACACAGGCACTCATATATATTCAAATAATTTAAAAAAAAGGTTCATGTACCTGTTACTACCACACACCAAATCCGGTTGTTGGTACTTCCTGGCTTGTGTAGCCACTAAGTGAGCTCAACACTGCCCCCTAGCATCCTGGAGCACTTCTGTTGTGTTTTGTACGTGTTTTGAAGTTTTTACGTGTTTTGTCTGTAGGGGCCACCATAAATATACTTTTACTTATTCACTCCACATAAAATATAATAAAAAAAAAATCATATAATACAAAAAACAACTATTCACATTTCAACTTTTAACTATTTAAATTTTCAGCTTTTTCCTTTTACAAATTTAAAGTGAAACAACACAAAACACTGCAAACCACAACACAATTAAATATAAATTAAAATATGAAAACAAAAAGAAGATGCATATTCTCTGTCATATGGGCCTGCA